TTAATTCAATTATGCATCCTAGAGATGAGATAATGCATGTATCAATAAACAAAAACCTTCCATAAAAGTACTAAGAAATCCTAGTCATTCAACATTGTAAACATGTTTCGATTACAAAACTTTTACATCCTCAATTTTATTCAAACATTATACAAAATTAGTCATTTTTATGTTAATACAAACTGCATTTGGTAAAATGGTTTTACTCGTGTGTTGTTGCAGAAATACTGCAAAGTGCAGCAATTGCTGTGTGTTCACTGCAAGCTCGCAATAAGCGATAGTTCTTCCTGTACCCCTGTAGTCTAAGACTTGTTGCATATCTTAAAACGAACAAAATTTTGTAAGAAATTTTACATTAAAAAAAACTTATCATAATTTACTTTTCTTCAGTTCAATCAAAAAAATTATCTTAAAGTTATGGCCATCAACAAATGTTTTTAACAGAATTTCGTTGGACTCGTCTGAGCATTTCGAGTGTCACTGCCATGGACAAAATGAGTTGGTTATAAGTGCATCTAATTATCAATTGATGAGCTCAGCGATATGATGGCAATATTTCTCGCAAAAGGAGTTCGGTTTAAAACGTTTGTTGGTTTCTTTAATTTCATTAAAGATATCTTTATTTACGCATTTCTAAACAGTTTCGTTTGAAGAATCAGTGCACCAAAAATTATTGCTCCGACCATATTTATTTCATAATTTTCTTTAAAATACTCGAAACTTCTAGCCTATAAGTACTAAATTCGTAAAATTCTTGAAAATTTGGTACACGTTATTAGCAGAACTAATTCATATGAAGCAGGAAATTTATTCAAAATCTTATACATGAGAAGAAGAAAACACTTGCTGTGGCCTTCAACTCGACATGTAGACGACGTATCATCAATTAACAATAGTTATTTCCATTCATATGTCGACACGATATACCCCAGTGAACTTGAAATACAAGATTCCCGAGAGTATGACACATCTGTTTCACATTTGGATATTTTACTTGGAAAATTTGTTAATGGTAACCTAACAATTAAGCTTTATGACAAACGTGATAAATTAAACTTTTCAGTCGTCAACTTCCCTTACTTATGCAGGAATATGTCATTATCATCTGCATACGGGGTTTATATCTCTCAGTTGACTCGGTAGGCAAAAGCATGCTCTGCATATGAACAATTTCTAAAACAAGGTAAGTTATTGACAAACAAGTTGATAAAACAAGAATATCAACAGTTTCGTTTAAAGTCATCATTTCGTAAGTTCTATGGTCGATACTATGACCTTGTCAGCAAATACAATCTATCATAAAGTCAAATGCTGACTTACTTTTTTCATACTTATTGTTAGGCCATTATTTATACACTGAATTGTCTACGGATTTTTTCGTTGTTTCACGATCATGACAAGGAGCACACGGCGGGTGTGACCGGTCGGCGTTGGATGCTCGCTCCTCCATGGCACCTGATCCCACCTCTGATGTTTTAGAGGTCCGTGTTTGCTACGTATGCTCCTTAAATCGAATGTTCACTGGTTTTTTCACATAAATTGTTAGGCCATTATTTTCACACTGATTGTCTAAGGAATTTTTCGTTTGCCCTATCATGACAAGGAGCACAGGGCGGGTATGAACGGTTGACAGGGGATGCTTACTCCGCCATGATACCTTATCCCACCTCTGATGTTTTTGGAGGTCCGTGTTTGCTTTGCTACAAATTTTAATTGTTCCAATGGACTTTTGCCCTTGATTACTGTTCGTTATTTCCATATTTCATTATATATTTTTATAAGGCCTACATAAAGAAAAAATTAAGAAAGGTAACTCTTGCTCTGATGGACTTATTTTAATACAGTGTGGTATTCTGACATAAAAAGCTTCTTTTCATCAAATTTTCTAATCTAAATTTATTCTAGGTATGACATTAATTATTATTTTGTATAATATTCTACCTAATATCTTTTTATTTTTTGGTTAAGAAAATAAATTATTGCTCCTTCTTTTCACCGTGTCACATTTTCTTCATATCATGATTAGGCATAAGCTTAAATTCTGAGAAAGTTCATTCGTTTAATGCATTAAGCTTTTTTCCCACTAGAATCTAAGGCTTTTTGTTGATGAAAATCATGTTGGGGATATTTTTATGATGATAATGATGATGAAATTTAGAACAGAAGTTCATTAGACCTTAAGCGCATTCATTAATGGTAAAATGTGACTGAGATTAAGGAAGGATTCTTGTTTGGATGAAATGAAATATTCAAAGTATATTTGCTTAACTTTAATATTTAAATGTCAATGGTTTTTAATATCATATTTTTCTTTCCTTCTCATAATTGTACAATATACAACTTTAAATAGAAATGGTAACGGCGGCGTATGAAAATATCTCCCTTTCTACTTCCAACAATGAATATACTTGAAATTTTCAAACAATCAAAGGCTTAAATTAAAAGAAATTTTTGGAGTAACTTGAATTAAAAATTATGGACTAAAGTTTTTAATTATATCAAATGAAAATGATTTTCCAAATGAAGAACAATCTTGAAAATTTAATACCAGGTATATACGAAACATAAAAAATAACTACTATTCCCTGAATATTTAAGAAAATAGAGGAAATTCTGGTTAGCCATTATCTATTTTTATCTCAATCTGGTAGTATCATGTGATAGACCCTGTGTGGTATAGTTTTTTCTGCAAAAAAAATTGTCATTTAAAATACAATGTAGAAGTAATCATTACATGTGTAGTGGTTTATATTTCTATTTCATAGCCCTCGTTTCGTAAATTATATTTTGCAAGTATTTGTTTGTATTTCAGTCTGATAATTCTATTTACCTTATGGTTTCAGTTGTTACTTACGTAAAACCCCTTTATTATTTGTCTTTTATAAGTTAGGACATGTGTTGACATTCCACATGTTTTACTTTTTAAACAGGAAGTGTCGTCCATGTTGGGAGTCTTTCCCTAGTATTTTGATAGCTGTGTTCTGATTGGTTAAGTTAGTTGTAGGATCTTTGATGTTCATTGGCTTTTATTTTTGGGCCTAGCTAGGGTATTTAAAGCCGTGTTCGTGTAGTTTTCTTCACTTGGGTTGAGGAACACGACCTCATGGTTAGTTCCTGTTTACTGTGCTATGAAAACCTCATGGTTTATGAGCACTATTTGATTAGTACCTTAGAGTGCTAAGAAAACCTCATGGTTTAATAGTACTCTAGGTCTTAGCTAGCTTTAGTTTCACGTTTTTCACGAGTTCTAGGTTTTTGTTAGGAAACAGTTAGGATGTAGGTTTTATAGAGTAAATTTATTTTCCCCTTTCCAAGTCCAGCCTGGTCTAGGGATTTGTAGATAACAGGTATAATTTCTAGAACCACTATTTATTATTTATTTTTGGTGTTGTTTATTTTCTGGGTTAGATATTTTTAGAGTCCAGATTTAGCATTATTATTTTTAGTTCAACTCTAGAGTGTTGATTAGTAGAGTTCATATTGGGTGATGTAGCTCATTTCCCTTACATTTTTCCAAATCATTGACATTTAGCAGTTTTTAATAGGATTTTTGACCTTTTTCATAAGTATGGAAGCTCAGTAGGGACATAAATTATTTTCATAGGTTTTTCACATTCCTCCCTTTATTCTTGTTTAAATTTTGATTATTATTCATTAATTGTTATCATTTACAAAGGTTAATTCTCACTTTATTAAATTTCTAAAACTTACAACTGTGTTTTCATTTAGCGTTGATCATAGTTCAGATATCCCCTTACCTGGGTTGACAAACATAACTGGAGATAGTTTACTGCTTTAAGCCAAGTTGGCTAGTAACTTTGTTAAGTCATTCATTAAAGAGTTCTACTTCCGGTTACACATGGTTGGCAATCTTAATTTGAATCTCAATGGCAAGGAAAAGATAATGACCTTGACCTGACCTTGCTCCTATAATAAAACGGTCAAATTTGATCTAATTGATAACATTATCTATTGATATTGTCTTCTTGAATTTATTGATATTGTCCTCTTGAATCTGTGAAATTTTAATTATATTCTAAATACAAGAAATACGAGAAGAAGTTTCAGAGTTAATTTCATTTCCACTCGCTGTTGTGCCAGCAAGGAGATCTAGAGGAAGGCCACGGGTCAGACAATGGATCGGGAGGGGAGTGATCACTATGGTGCATATCAGATCCACTTTTTCTGCGAATGGATATATGGCAGATTTTGATGATCTTCTGGACGTAGTATCCCCGGCCATTTATAAAGAAGCGGGACACATTAATGAGAAATTCAATTTCAGCATCAGATCGATTTACTCTTACACTGCGTAAATTTTTTGACCACCGGTCAAATATAAAATTAATCGTCTATTTGAAATATATTTAAGAAGGAATGCTACACCAAAATTTATTTGATGGATCTTCAAAACATCAATTTTAAACTAAGATTTTAGCATTGAAAGATTGATATTCGCTCTTAATTATTTGATACGATTTGTTTCAAATTTATTCAGCGAAAATGTTAAAAAAAAAAAATACATTTTAAATTTGAACAAGCCGTAACGTATAAAAATGTTGAAATATTCTTTTAGAATATTGAATTGGTCAGTAAAGCATAAATAGATCACCCAAATCCCAGACCACTGATTGGCCAAAGATAGAGAGTCTCATACGACTTGCTGTACAGAGTAGAGACACGCTCTATTCGAACGCGTGGAATATATGACTCCGGGAAGGTTTAAATTCCGTGTAATAGCCCAGTACACACGGTAGCATTTTGATGTATATGACAAGGTTTATACAGCTTGCTTTACCGTGTAAACCGGCCTTAAGATGCACACTGACATACCATACCCCCCTTCCAGTGTTCTTTCATTTTGAATGAATACACTTCTCAAAAAATCCTTCATATAACGAGTGTCAGGAGTCCTGCAAAATACTTAATTTTCCAGTGCGAATTACCTTGGCTACGAATTTTTCTTACACCGCACTACTTGTAAACAGAAATAATGATGACTGACACGAAAAAACCACGTCTTGAAAATGAGCGCACAAGCACGAGTCTCATTTTTTATGACTTCTACTCTAACGAAAATCTCTTCAAAGACCTAAAAATTTGTGTGAATGCTCTTCAAGAATGGAATGATTATACACTGTGCATGTTGAAGATAAATCACTGTAACGCCGAGTGTCCATGCACATTTTCTAAAGCCTATTGCATGGCGGCTAGGTACCGCTATGTGCACGGTATAAGCAGCTCTGAAATTGTGAAAAAGTTCGCATTCTCAAGTATTTTCAAATACGGCGAAGAATTGCTGACATGTTTTGCTAAGCCCAAAAATGAATCTCGCTTGCCACAGAGGAAAGGGGCAAGAATTGCGCTCGAAAAATTGTTCAGTTTTATGTCCAGTGGACTTGAATGTAAGCAAATTTTGTTAAATTTGTTTTCAAATCTTGTCAAGCTGTTAAGTTGTCACAGAAGATGAAAAAACTTAATACTTCGTATAGAACATAGCTTTCTGTTGAAAAAAAAATATTTTAGGGTCCTTATGTTGGTAAACAGGTTTAAGTTGTAGAATTGCACAAAAGATTTCAGTGATAATTTGCAGATCAATCAAAAACATATCCGATTTTCTAACATTGAAACATTTCAGGAAGTTATGAGGGTGTATTGTAATTTAAATGTTGAACTTTATTTGATTTAATTTTCAATACATGCAATATATAATATGTTCTTCTTTATAGTTATACACTTTAGGAAAAAAAAATCATGATAAAGTAATCATTAGATCCAAAGCACATCATGATTATTTAGAAAAAAGAAATTGCAATTTAATCAATTACTATCCAAAAAAGGAGTAATTTTAAAAAAGTTATAATTGTGACCTATTAGGTAAATGACTTGATTCTTTTCTTTCATCTCTAGTGACAGAGAGTTGCTTGAGGAAGAATATTAAAGGTGTTCCCGAATCAGACTGGAGTGTTGTGGTTGCTCATCATTTGCTCTCCAAACTTGCTGTGTCTTCATTTTACCTCATTGATCAAAGTAGAGGCAAACAGAACAGGTGCCCTTGTCAGTGTGGAGAAAGTCTCACAGGAACTTATGGCGATTCAAGCATAGGTTTGTGGATATTTTGTTTGCAATGACCCTAGACAGTGATCAGTTTATGTGTCTGATTTGTACAGGTATTCATTGTATGGTGTTTATAAACATATGATCATTAATTTAATTATCAGACATGCCAAGTATTCCAACAGTGCACTTTATTTGTACAGTTGATATGATTGAAGAAGTTAATTTCTGTGTCAAAGAGGAATGGATAGATATTTTCTGTCATCTGATGTATGTAAAAGCCAATGGGGGTCAGATCGAGTCCAGTTATTAGGAATGAGTTGTTATTCTAATATACTGAAGGGCCTCAAAGTAGTGGTGCATTTTAGCCTTTCTTTATTGTTAAAATTGTATTGACACAAAGCTACATTAATTTTTGTTTTCTTTTAGGTTCTCCTGAAGTCTGGCATGGGTTACTGGACATTTTGATGAGTGTTTCAGTCAAGTTTATGAGTTTTGAGGATCCAGATTCTCTGTCTGGCTCTGGAGGTCATTATATAGTGAGAGGAAAAGAAACAGACTTAAAAAGCATCAGAGAACAAATAATAGCACAGTCAATTGTGTTCTCATTCTTTCAAAGGAAACTACACCCTGAGTATGTGCATCACTTGATACCTAGTATTGGCATCTCAAAGGACATGCTTGTGGTTTATTTATATGATTGTAATAATGATATACTCCTAGAGAGTTCAGAAATGCCTTACCTTACAACACAAGGTGCTCTTGTTAAACCAACCATTGTAGCACTATGGCTAGTGTTGAACTATGAATTCTTATGCTCAGGTATAACAAAAGGTATGAATGATTCTGGTGTCAAGAGTAATTTTACTCAGCTTGTTCATGAAAAACTGAAATTATATGACAAAGTTACTGTCCCTTGTGATTCATCATGTTCAGGAGAAGAGGAGCAGTGGACCTGGGGAGCCCGACCTGAAAATGATGAACCGGCTCAGAGGTTCAGTGATGTGAACATGTTGCAGCCATGGAAACTTAGTGATAGTTCATGAAGAATAATTGTGATTTTGTGTTTTATAGATGAATCTTCATAATGTTTCAGTTTAAATAAAAGTGGACTTTTTTATATGGCAAAAAATGGTCATTGAAACAAAAAAAAACAGGGTACAAGTCTCAAGATGATTAAAGATTATTTAAAACATGGGTTTTGGCCTAGAGACTATAGTTTTTTTTAAATTAATAGATCAAGGCAATGAAGCAGTCATGAATTAGTTATTAATTATTTATCAATTGAAATAAATAATCAATTTTGCTATAGAACAGTAAATGGGAATGAAATATTTTGAATTCCATTGTCTCTAGCTCTCTGCCTCCTTGGGGCATGAGAAGTGTGACCAAAACTATCAGTCTTCAACAAATCTTTTTTTACATCCGAACATCAGGCAGACAAACTATTGGTATGATTATAAGCTTTGAGAAAGCCCTTAATTGTGAAAAACATGTGCCCTGGACTCAGGCTCCAAGGTGGGACAGAGTTGGTCTTTTCTGGACTTCTTACAGGAAGACTATTTATATGATTATAATAAGTACATGTACTACATTTTAAACTCGCTTTGTTCTGGAGGAGTATTGGACGGTAAGGAAAATCCCGGAATTCTACGAAGAATAATTATTAGAAATTCTCTAAGAAAAACAGGGCTTCAAATTGTCAATTCCATATGCAATCACCTTATGTATAGTTGCAGATCTGTAGCTCTCTGGTATAGAAAAGTTGAACAGGTATACCAGACTATATCTGTCTTAATTAGGCTCGTAGGAAGCGATTTTAGTTGGGGGGGGGGGGCACTACCCAAAATTTACAAATTCCTTGCCAGGCAAAAAAAGGGGGGTGGGTGGGAGATTGGACGTTATTTAGGAGACACAAACATATAGTAGCTATGTTTGCTATGGTATTCTAAATATCGGCAAAATTATTGGGGGAGGGGGCTTGCACCCCCCCCTCCCCCCGGTTCCTACGGCCATGCTAATTATGTAGCCAAGAGAGATATACAGTTCTGCAGCTGAAGATTCAGTTTGAAGTGATTCAGATGAAGTTTGACCCCAAGCCCCAAGGGCAGAGATGGGAATTCAAAAAGAATCTAAAGATTCAAATAAAGAGGTAGAGAAAAAATAATGCCTACCATTTTTTCCTTGTTAAAAATATCTCAGTGCTAGAAATAATCTATTTGACTATCTTTTTCGACTTGATTTAGACATCAAAAATGTACATCTACTACTCGGGGGCATGAAAACCTATTATTAGAGTTAGACAATGGCATTTTTGCCGCTGTTCACAAGCTCATAAATGAATCATATAAGTTTAAATAGCTATATCAACTGTATTATTTGTATGTTTTGTTTTGTTTGTTTGTTTGTTTGTTTGTTTTTTGTATATTATTTTGCATGACAATTATTATGCGTTATATTAAGGAGAGGAACTAGTAAGTTGATAGGACTTGTTTTTGATTCTCAGTAAAATATGTTCAAACAAAACATCCTTAAAATTTCTGTTTCCAAGAAGTAATGGCCTGTTGTCTTTATTATATGCATCAATAATGCAAGTTTCTTAAATTTATTGCTCGTAAGACAGAAAAGTGAAGGGGTAATTCGATGGTTTATAATGTAATATAAGGAATTTAACAAGAGGCCCAAGGGCCTTAACGGTCACCTGAGTATGATACAACAATTTAAAGGATGCATAGAGTATAAAATGAACTGAAAGGTGAAGCTTTGTTGCCCAAAAGCAAGAAAAATAGGGTGATCATGATCAACAAAATAATTGGTCTTAATATTCATTAACAGTTCATAAATTAGGTTTTAATCTGTTCCCCATTTATCACTATCACCATACAGTATATAACAAATTATCAATTCTTCTGTACTATTTTTATCCCTTGTTGAAATCTCTTACATTGGCCTCTCTTGGTCTTTGATGAACATTTAATAAGACAAGTTATTTTTGTCTCATTTTTATTTATCTACTACTTACAAGTCTATCTGATCATTAAAACTATGAAAGTACTTTTTGTATTATACAATAAAAGTTTTTGCATAATTCTCTTATTCTATTTAACTTTCAAGTACATTATTTACAGTGATAAATTATCAAAAGTAAATGGCAAAGGGGAATAACTCCTCTCAGTAGAATACAAACTAATAGAGCCCTGGTCAGGACCAGAACACTTGACCAAATGGTCCAGATGTTCAATAATCTGGTAAAAATTCCCTTCCTTATAAAAACTTTTACTCTGTTTGCGTCAGATATACCCAGGTGCGGAGAATATTTTTAAAGAAATAATGCATTTTTACTACAGATTCACTATATTATCAATAGAGCCCCCCCCCCCCCCGAAATACCAGAGCTTCTGACCCTAGGACGATAAGTTTGCTCATCATAACTAATCACTTTGTTTATCTGCTTAACACTAAGGACAAACAGGATTATTTAATAGAATTAATGCATTTTCACTATATTATCGATAGCCCCACCCTCACACCTGCACATCTGACCCAGGTGTCATGAAATTCACTACTCTGGAAGAAGCACTCTTGCTCATCATAACTATACACTTAGCTTCTTTGCTTTTTTAACCAGAAGCAGAAAAGAATATTTTCAAAGAAATTTTGCTTTTTCACTTTATAATCAATAGAAGCCCCCCCCCCCCCTTTCACCAGAACCCTTAAACCTGGGGTCATAAAATTCACAATTTTGGATGAGGCACTCTTGCTCATCATAACTATGTACTTAGTTACTGTTTTTAATACTTAGGAGCAGAGAAGAAGATTTTCAAAGAATTAATGCATTTTCACTATATAATCAATAGAGCCCCGCCCTAACACCAGACACCTAACACCAAAGGCACTCTTGCTCATCATAACTATGTACTTAGTTAGTTTATTTAATACCCAGGAGCAGAGAAGAAGATTTTCAATGAATTAATGCATTTTCACTATATAATCAATAGAGCCCCGCCCTAACACCAGAACCCCTTCCCCTGGGGTCATGAAATTCACAATTTGGGAAAAGGCACTCCTGCTCATCATAACTATGTACTTAGTTACTGTATTTAATACCCAGGAGCAGAGAAGGAGATTTTCAAAGAAAGAATGCATTTTCACTATATAATCAATAGAGTAAATGGTGGTTTTAGCCCCACCACTCAGGCCCCAGGGGGGCAGGGACCATGAAATTCAAAATTTTTGTTCCCCTTCACCCATAGATGCTATATGCCAAATTTGGTTGAAATTGGTTGAGGGATTTCAGAGAAGAAGCTAAAAATGTTCAAATGTTAACGCACATCGCACGACGCACGCCGACGGACAAAAACGGATAGCAATAGGTCACCTGAGTGACTCAGGTGACCTAAAAATATTCATTGAAAAGAACTAGGCCGCAAATATTCACTGAAAAATGTCAAAGAACCATGAAAAATATTTTCATGTCATGCAAATTCAGATTTGACTTTATAATTGTCCTTTGGACTAGGTTGGTATATAAGTTCCTAACATTTACAAAGTTGTATGACTGGAAAAAAAATAATTACGTAATTGTTCACTCTAGGTGGAAGTTAAAGTCCATGAGCCTCTTGTTAATCAATATTTTTTCTTAGGCTTGTTTAACTGGAATGTCATTTGATTCAAAATGTTGGGAAAACACATGCATGTTTTCAAATGTAATTCCAAAACGGAGATCAAATTGTCTTCAACACGTTTGTATAGAAGCACTATGAACTACCAAGAGAAGCAACATAAAATTATTATATCACGATACCACGATGAACTACAAAGAGGCGTATTTTATTATATAAGTTCTGCATGTAGTTGAGGGTAACATTGAAAATCTTCACCCCAAGAAAACCATTGTCAGGTGAGGCGCATCCGAGAGTGACAATGGTTTTCGAGGGGTGAAAATTTCAATGTTACCTTCTACTACATGCAGTATTTATTATGTACCGAACGTTTTATACATGAAGCGCGCGCGCATAGATTCCACGCAGTCACTATTTTTTAAATATCACCAGTCATCAAGCAATGTTGACCGTTTCTAAGTTCTATCGCGCTGGAGGCCGTGGTTTCATCATTTAGAGGGTAACAGTGTTTTTTAGCTCACCTGAGCTGAAAGCTCAAGTGAGCTTTTCTGGAAGCATCCTTGGGTAGTGTAGATTCTAAATTGTTCAAATCATGACCCCCGGGGGTAGGGCGGGGCCACAATAGGGAATCCAAGTTTTACATTGAAATATGTAGTAAAAATCTTTAAAAATCTTCTTCTCAAGAACCACCGGGCCAGAAAGGCTGAAACCTATGTGGAAGCATCCTTGGGTAGTGTAGATTCTAAATTGTTCAAATAATGACCTCCGGGGGTAGGGCGGGGTCACAATAGGGACTCCAAGTTTTATATTGAAATATATAGTAAAAATCTTCTCAAGAACCACTGGGCCAGAGAAGCTGAAACTTATGTGGAAGCATTCTGGGGTAATGTAGATTCTGAATTGTTCAAATCATGACCCCCGGGGGTAGGGCGGGGCCACAATACGGAATCCAAGTTTTACATTGAAATATGCAGAAAAAATCTTTAAAAATCTTCTTCTCAAGAACCACTGGGCCAGAAAGGCTGAAACTTATGTGGAAGCATCCTGGGGTAGTGTAGATTCTAATTGTTTAAATTATGACCCCTGGGTATAGGGCGGGGCCACAATAAGTACTACAGGGGGGGGGGGTGAGAGAAATCTGGTGAAAAACAGCAAGGCCAAAGTTTCTCAGATGAGCGCTATGGCCCATGGGCCTCTTGATAACAAATGTTTCTTGACGAATAAATTCAAGTAATTTACATGAAAGTATAATATTGTACTAAATGATACGTTATTAAATGATCAGAAATTTTGATGCTCTCTGATTTGTCCAGACACTATTTCCTGGGATGAACCCCCGAGTCATTTCATCTCAAATCGACGTTCCGGGAGGTTTAATTTATACGGGGTGGGGTTTCCCTCTTGACCAACCGTAGATTTTTGTCGACCAAACAAATTGTGCATTTTAAAGCAAGTGTCGTTGAAAACAAAACAAAAAAGGGCAGACGCAGTATCAAGGTGATTGAACTCCTTTATTTAAT